CAAATCGCCGGTGAGAGGCACCCTCTCCCCTCATCCACATCAAACTGCTGACGCAGTGAGACATGGTTGAAGGGAGTAGGCCACCTTGCCTACTGCTGCAGACATTGGATGCAGCAGAGAACAATCACTCTACTGTGCATGAGCTCCCGGTTCAACCGAGGTATGCACAAGCCATGCAAGAGAGTGATGGGTAGGTGGTGCAGTTGGCCTTCCACCACCTCAAGGGAGTGGACTTGTTGTGGATCTCCTTGCTGGTGAAGATGAGATCGGCTTTGAGGAATGTTTTGATTTCAATTTTGAACAGAGTTGAGGGCTTTCGAGTCATACAACGTGCCAGCCATGCCATGAGTGAGGATGTGTCGGCCTCAGAGTTGCCTATGACAGTGATCTCCGGTTTGGGATCATTCAACCTTGGGGGAGAGACAACTGGTTTCTCCTTGTATTCCAAGAATCTGAAGTTTAGGAGTTTGACACATTCCTTGACCTTGGCACTGTCCGATCCAAACACCAGTCCAAATATATGCATCCGGTAACACAGATGAAGAATAGTTGCTAGTTTGAGTGTCTCACACTCCATATGTTGGAATTCTTGGAATTCTCTCTTCTTGTTATCCGCGCCTTCGCTCAGTCCGCTCAGTCCGCTCTCTCAGTCCGCTCTCTCAGTCCGCTCTCTCCAATCCTCACCGATTGCTATACATCTCTCTCAGTCCTTCTGCCCTCAATACACTCAACCATACATCCTCTCATACGACACCTCATTCCTTCTCAAACGCCTCATCACCCTATCAACTCCTCATCGCCTTGAACGAAACACTATTGGGACAAAACTAACCAACCACAAACTCAACCACAAGCCAACCGACTTCGATCCTCAACCACAATCTGAACCGGTCGACACTAACCTATAAAAGCCGTCACTGCCGCCGCTTTTCTCACTGCTTTTCTCGTCAGCAGTCTTTGACATCTTCACTCATCGTCACCTCTCAAACCTTTCCCAACTTCAACTGCTCGACTCATCGTCTACCTCGACTTCTCTCAACCATTCCCCTCATCATTCTTCTCCGACTTTGTTTCTTCTCTTCTCTCATTCTCTACTTCCTATCCCTCTTCTCTCTTATCGTTCAATCTCACCGCCGTCGACTTCATATCTTATCGACCTCACCACAATCATCACTCATCCTAATTCCGCCGTCACTCTCTCTTGAAATCTTCAATTGGCTTCTGCCAATTTGGTGAGAAAAAACAATCTCCTCTCTCTCTCAAATCTCATCGCTCAAACATTAACTTTCTCTTTCTATTTTCTCTCTGATCTGAAAGTGTCTACTATCTATCCTTGTTTGATCTGGTCTATTTCAGTCTATCTGTTCTGTCTAAATCAAAAGACAAATCCTCACGTGGTAAATCTCTTCTCTTTTTCAAATTCATGTTTTCCTTTCTTGTAATCATTGTTAATTGTTGTCATTTGATTTGTCAGTTCTGGTTCTAGCTTCAATTATAATTCCTGTTTTTCATCACGATTAACAGTCGAATCCGATTCGAACAAAAACCTCAGTCTCTCAACCAAATCTCATCATGTCAACGCCAATCGACACTCCCAAAACTTCCTCCACTTCCAACCAGAACACCTCACAGAACAACCCAATTGAGAAAATTATCTCCACCATACTGAAGACCGCTCTCGAAGCCATTCCTCTCCTCACTGCCGACAACTACACCTTTTGGCGAAATCGAGTCGACAACATGCTGGATCTACAAGGACTCCGAGCGTCGTTGACCGATAAGGATGGTTCGCTCACGACCACTGATGATGTTCAACTTCGTACTATCATCACTTCAAAGTTGGATTCCTCCATTCAACCTAACATCATCAATCATGAAAATGAAAAGAATGCTTGTAAGATATGGGAATCCATCACTAACTACTTCGCATCGACCCAGCCAGCTAACAGAGCTAGAGTCTTTAATGAACTCCTAGACTTGAGCTTCAACACTTCCGACATCCAGACGTTCATCACTGCAGTTCGCACGATCAACTCTCGGCTGTTCGAGATTGGCATCGACCTCCCTCAAGATTTGGTGGCGTACATCCTACTCAAAAAGCTCCCGCCGGCATTGACCAATGTCAGTCAGCAAATAACACATTCGGAAAAGCCTCTCACCAGCAATCTCGTGCTCAATCACCTCAAACTCTACAGCAATGATCAATCAGCCACTGGGATACACCGGCAACTGGTACCAAGAATGATCCGATTG